GCCGACGGCGGGGTGTAGTGACCGAGTGTTTTTACCTTTGCAGGGTAGTTTTTAAACGAAGCACCCTCTCCCTCACGTTCTGTTTACGAGAAAACGTTCTATATATGCGCACGCACACTGCAGAGAGCTTGTTGTTTCTATAAAATATGAAGATGGGATTCAACGATAGGTATATTTTTTTACAATAATAATTGTAGTCCCATTGTACAATGCGTATCTAATGTGACATGTTATATGGAAAAAAATTGCTGTTTCTGCTGCAAGACTATATATGTTATACATCCGAATAACGAACGAATGCAGGTATCAAACTAAAACGAGTGAAAAAAAAAACTATTACATAGTATTTGGGGAAAAAAATACTGGAGAGATTGTTATTTGTCCTTGACACGAACTGCATTTATCAATATCAAGATGGATATAGGTAATACACCTCATGATAAAGTGATAGTAGGTACCTACTAAATATTATCTGCAGCGCTGCTGTAAAATACAGTAATATTATATAGTTTGCCGTCGAAATATTATTATGAGAATGTACGCCAAGATATTGTATTGTTGAACAACTCATATATGTGCTGCCTATTACCTGCCTACTTACTGCGGCGTATAATATTATGTAAAATTGTAAAAAATGTTCAGGTGCATCCCTATAAATCTATAATAGACCAATTTTCGGCACATAAACTAAAGGTATAAACTCAGTCTTTGCGTGTAATTAGAAATGTATTGATTATTATAAAATATATTGTTATTTATATATAACTTCCTACACTTAATATACCCACATACCCACGTGGGTTGTGTCCGTCTAACCAAGACCAAATAATCCGACGCAAAAATACTTTTATTACTTGTTTTAAAAATAATGTATCAAAAAAACCCAAAGCGTGCTACCCTAAATAATATTCTTATACCTTCAAATCTACAACAGACTATAATGGATTATTCTGATCCATTTGACCACTTGGCGACCTTAAAGGATGCATCTGTATCTGTGTCTCTGTGTGTATCGATACAGGTGAAATGTACCTATACTGTGCAGCAATTAGCGAATGCACATAATAATATTATACATCCATCACCAATGCAGTGTCTACGCACGGCAGGAAATAACTTTCTACATTAAATTATATATTTTTTTTACAATACATATTGCATTATTACTACAATACGTATTTTTGTGGTTGGGTCATTTGGGGGGGGGGGGCTGTCAAGATGATAATTTGATAATTGATGAACTAGAATTATTGCATATAAGCTTAATATGCTGGTGCCGAGAGCGGCAAGAGCATATTATAAAATTTTAGACTTTTGCAGAAACTTCACACAATATATTTTACAATTTTATTTTAATACACGTGCTCACGTCCAACATAATAATACGTTCACAGAAGGCATTTTTACATTTTTCTGAAATTTCGGAGAAGGCTGCAACCCTGCACCACGCCTGGCTACACCTCTGAGACAATACGAAGTTATTATGTGGCCACATGAGGTACCCATTGAAAATAAATCGTCGCCACGTGAAGAATAGTGGCGTGTGGTGCGTGTCCGTTCCGAGAAATCATTCCAAAGGAGTCTCGGATTATGTTTAAAAATTTAAAATGTGGTTAGAGGCAAGAGCGTATTGCAATTAGCGGATACTATAATAATATTATATGATGTACCGAATGGCTAGTCTATTCAGTACGGGAGGGATATTAATAATATTTATAATATCATGTAATACGTTTGGGTGCAATGGGCGCATATAACTCTGAGCCTATTACTAGACATTCTAGCATTACTTATAACTTATAAGACACCACGAGGTTGGCTCAATAGTCAATAGTATTCCAAAAGTATGTGTGTACTTTTATTAGTAATTTTTACTTTTTAGTATATACTACTAATATTCATACTCAATACTTATATACTCATAACTCATAAGTCATAAGAGTTGAGATAATAGGTAGGTGATATTTTATTTTTATGTGGTTAATTTTATTTTGGTTGCCCCATAAGGTAGGAAAATTGGGTAATCGGAAAAAAAAGTCCCGGTAAAAAAAGTCCCAGAAAAAAAAGTCCCGGTAAAAAAGTCCCGATAAAAAAAGTCCCACACTAGGAAAAAAAAGTCCCGAAAAAAAAATATTATTCTTGTAGGTACTTGTACAGTTCTATAGTAAGTTGTGCTTTGTATTTTAATGTGTAACTGTGTAAGTGTAATGAATAAAATGCTTGTACATATATATGCCTCCAGATGCAGAAGACCTTTTAACTTATTTTGATTCTTATTATGTAAATGGTACCTATAGGCGTGTAGGTTCAGCTTCTACCTTGCATTTTAGAAAAATTCCACCCATATTTTCACCTGCCTCGTGGAATGTACATAATGCCACTTTAGTAGGGGGCATCGAACAAACAATATGACTGAAGGATGGAATAACCGATTTTCAAAGTTATGTGCACATAAACATCCAACTATTTGGAAACTAATTAGGAAAATAAAAATGGAAATTTCCGCAGATGAAGCGAAATTAGCTTTAGGTGCTATAGGAGATTCAAAAACTGTTAAAAAACTAGGGCAAACTCGGACAGTAGAAAAACGGCTGCAAAATTTATGTATACAAATACAAGCGGGCAATATCGGTGTTTTAGATTTTTTAACAGCCGTAAGTCATAATATAAGAAAGAGGTGTACCTAATTATAATATTAAATTTTTATAGCATTATTATTATAATTATATTGGTACTTTAATTGTATTATTTTTATTTACTTTTATTTGACTTACTTATTATTGACTATTTATTATTGTAATAAATTGTAAGTAATTAACATCTTTTATGATATTATATGACTTTGTATGTATTTATATATTCATCGGGACTTTTTTTTCCTAGTGTGGGACTTTTTTTACCGGGACTTTTTTTTCCGCGATTCGGAAAATTGGTACCTATTTTAGTTCTACCCGAGATATTACGAAAGACACCTATTACATCGGCCATCGTTATTCGCATTATGGATTTTATTACCAATTTGAGAGGCAAATATTAATAATAATGAAACTATCTGAACTAGATAACAGGTGAGTTATGTGAATGTTTTTCAAGCGGAGATATTTCAAAATTATTAAGTGTCAATAAAAATAATATATAAGTCAAGTTCAGATTTCTGTTATTGTTTTAAAATTTTATAATATAATTATGTATTTGTACAACAGTTGGTCATGAGTTATATTTATAATATATGCATATTTTAAGCAGGGCTTTTCAGAGGTGGTGGAGGGGGGCAGCTGGACCATTTTGTCCTAGGCCATATTTTAGGAAAATACCAGTATTTAGAGACTCCCTAAAAATTTCAGTTGGACAAATTGTTTTTAAAAACAATTTTAATGTCAATCAGAAGGTAATGCACATGATTAGGATAACTCGGCTTATTAGAACCTATAATTTTTAAAATCTTTTTTGCTTTATGCAATTTCAATGTTACAATTTTATTGCGTCTGTAAATTGTAATATTATATTATATAAATAGGCTACGTTTTTAGTTATCTTAAATGATAACAATATTGTCATATTTCATTATTGTCACGGTTCCTGAGTGCGAGGAACAATGATAAAATATTAAAATATATTATAATATCCTAATTTCTTCGTATAAATTCGTTTGTACTAATGATGACTTCAGTCCATATAGTTACCTATACTTAGTTCAATATTTTCGTTATTTGTTGTTTAATATCGTAATATGAATATTTTTAAATTTTTTTTTTTAACCTTCATAAATTACATAAAATACAAAAACATAGTTAGTACACATGATTATCTATCTCTTTTCATCTAATGACTTGTGTTAGAGGTGGAGAGTAATAGATTAACAATAATTAAGAACACAAATTGTATAGTCGTCACAATTATTTTAATCGGCACTAAGACTTTAAGTTACATTAACACCGGCTGCCATGCATTTGAATGATCTTAGTTGGTCATATTTGCCAATATTTTGCAAATCTCAGTGGATATTGTTTAATATATCATAATATATTCATATCGTGCTATGATCGAGAGGCCTCCGCATAGATATGCCCTTAGCCCTGAAAAACTTTGAGATGACTTTGATTTTACACGTCGTTCAGCAGTCATTTTGGAAAGGACAAAACATTAATACTTTGTCTTCATAATAATAAATACATAAATAAATAACTACAAGTAAGTGCATTGTACAGCACACGTATGGGGGTTCCAGGGTTGTACAATATTTAATATTTTCATGAATTAATACAATTTGAGTTGAGCGAGTTGGATATAGATTTCGTCATGCGTATTATTCTCATCTACACCTATAATCGTAATAATACGAGTATGTTCAAACATACAATACTTAACCCCAAATGAATCAAATTGTACGCATTATGGTTTTTTCATAACTTTACTTATTCATTGTATTGGCATCGTCCATTGGTCCGTTAATAAGCCCAAAAGGTACCTATGCCCAATAATACAAATAGAACTTGGAAAAATAGGGGCGCCAAAGAACACCCTGCCACCCACCAACGGCGCCCCTCCAACAACGACAATAGCAATGATTAGTTTAAAAACAACTTCAACAACAACAATAATAATATCCAATATTGTTTGTGTACTTCGCACCGCAGCAGCAACACACACACACACACACACACACACACACACACACACACACACACACACACACACACACACACACACACACACACACAAAGCATTACAGCAACAGGGCCCCGTGGGCCGGTGGGGGGGCTTCCGCACGTTGTCGTTAACGTGTGCCGCGTGAGTGTGCGTGCGCGCGCGTATTTACATGTGATCCACGGCGGTCTCGAGGCGCACGCGGACGATGGCGAAGTGTACGTGTCGAGGTAAGTGGTAAGGGTAACCCGCACGGCACACGTACGACGGCCGTCTCGCAATGGCCGCCCGACGCGCGCACGCACGCACACGATCCGCCGACGTACACGCAAGCGCACTGCGACACGCGTACGCACGCGTTACCCAAACGTTACGTCTTACGTGTGGGCGCTAGCGCGTGCGTTCGAATACCGTAAGCACGTCGTCGTACATTATATTATTAATATCGCACGTTCGTACCGTCGTCCGCAGTACCAGATAAAATAATATTATAATAAGACAACAAGTCCGTTCCGTCAGGCGCACGTAGTGTTGTTGCGCGGAGCGCGGATCGACCGAGGAAAATAGAAAAGCGCACTGCCTGGCGGACGATGCCGCCAACGCGATCCGTTATCACGCAGCCCGTTATCAGCGCGTGAAACAACGTTTTAATTTAAAAAAAAAAAAATTTCCTCCGACTTCGGCGGCGCGCGTCTCAAATTTACCACCGACGGCCCCGTTTCCCGCGACGTGCGCGCGTGTGCCCCAGAGCACAGTAAGGACGTACCGTATCGCATTGCCGCCGCCGCCGCTGCGCGCCCGCCGAACGCCGCCGCGCGCACGACGACGACGACCACCACACGATGCCGTCGCACATGAACTGTTGTTTCAACAAATGTACCAACTCGAGTCGGAGCACGCAGAACCTGTCGTTTCACAAGTTCCCGACCAACGAGAGCCTGTGAGCATATTTCGACGACTTCGGCCGTCCGTCCCTCTAACGCGGTGTACTTGACTTTTTTTTTTTCGACCTCACTTTTCCCAGGTGTAAACAATGGGTCGAACTGTGTCAGAACGACAAAGTCATCCAGAAGTTCAAGAACCACGGTTCCAGCCAGGTGTCAAAGAGTTTCAGAATATGTTCCGAACACTTCAAGCGGGAAGACTACGTTTTGTGGACGTCGAAAAAAAAGTCAGTACCTATACCTCCCTACTTATATAATAACACGTCTATATTATTATTATTATTACTATTATCATTATCATCATCGTCATCATCATCATTTTAAGTGTCCATCGGTGACCGATGGTAGTTCACTATTAACTTAGTTTTATCTCTGATGTTGTTTCTTTCGTTGTCGTCAGGGTGTTGCACAAAGGATCCATTCCGACAGGGCAGCAGCTGATAAGTCCAAAAACAACACACACGAACATTACCAATTGGAGTGATATGAGTATGTTGACACATGAAAGTGCGTGTCTGTTGTTTGCCGATTATTAATAGTTTTGTGTCTTTTGCTTTTTAGTCACGGAGGAAGACGAGGCAGCCGCCACCCACGCTGCGAGCTGGAGTCCACGCGGAACCCCAAATTTTGATCTATCTGGCTCAGGTAAGTTAGAGTGATAGAATTTTACATCAATGTCCTAATTAATTAATAGTTGTGTATTTTCTAGTACCTGAGCAGGGTAAGTAAAAGAACGATTAAATCCAGGGTGGAGTCCTTACAAAACTCCATGTTCTCAACTAAGCAGTCCAGATAAATAGATCATAATATTATGTTAAATTGTACCATTTTAATGAAAAGAAGCGCAGACTTTGTTAGCTTATCAAACGGTTACATTTTTTAAAAATAATTTGGAAAACTATTTCAATTTTTTTGCTCTTTGAATTTAAAAATTATCTTAAAAAGCCTCGGGGTGTTATTTTATACATTTTAGTTGTTAATGGTTTATAATTTTAAAATTTTTATCAAATCAAAATGTTTTTTCTTATAAATGTTCAATTATCAAATTAATAAGCAGTTAAAGCAAAAAAAATATTTTTTTTACGTATAAATGGATATGGTAGTGATTTAAATCTAAACGATTTATCTTAAAGTCACTTACAAATTTTAAAAATAATCAGGAAATGTTTTGTAAATGCTTTGACTAAGTCTAGCACCTCATACACATTACAATATTAGTGGCGCTTAGTTATTATAAAAGTTATTTGTAAATAATTTTAGATTTTAATTCAAAGACAAATGGCTATTTTTTAAGAGTTGTACGAGTACATTTTGTAACATGTTGAGATTAATAAATGGTGTGTATTCTGTTTACACTTTTTTCCACTCTTTTATAAAAATGCCTATATACATGTCATAATGTTTATATTAAAAATATTTATATACCATACAGTAAACACATTGTATGTGTATGAATGCATGTATATAATGCAACTGTGCATATTAATGTATAAGCATTTAGATTTATGGTTATGATTATAATATAATTAATATATAATAATTTTAATTAAACAAACCGTTTTATTGTTAATACTACATGGCTTCAACCATGGTTGTTGTGCAAAATTATGCTTTTATTAAAATAGTTGAAAGCAGTGTACTTTTATATGAATATTAGTTCTTAACTTTTTTTTTACTATACTTAAACCCTAACAAATACTAAAATTATTTGTACTTGAGTTATTTTTCTTACTCGTACGACTCTTTTGTTTATTATGATTATTTTTTTTTTTTTTTTTAGCTTTATCGATCATTTGGTAATAATTTCAAAAGATATTGTTCATCATACAATTGCTCCATTAATTATTATTGTTTCACTGTAAGAGGATAATCAATTCTTTGTTGATTATAGAATCTATACTTAAATTAGAAGACAACTTCTTAGAAAAAAAATTGTATTAAGTGATTTAAATATTACTTAAATTTTTATGAACATTATATTATAATAAATTGTAAAATGTGAGCATTCTTGTACTCGTGAAAAATCATTATTAAATATTTTTTTAAGTTATTACTTAATTTAGTGTGTTATTATAATGTAAGATGTACACTTGGCTAAAAACCAAAACTGCCTTTTTAATAGAATTTTGTAAGTCTTCAGTTGTTCAATTTTATCAGGAAAAGAGACATCAGCATTTGAAATTAATCAGTATCAAAACTCAATTGATAATATTATTGTGTGTTATCGAAGATATTAAAAAGTATAACATTAATTTTTGTAAAACTTAAACGGAGTGCAGCGTATTATTGTTGTTTTTTTGTATAATTATTGTTTTTTTTTTTAATAATTATTGATATTTAGATTGGTAAAGGGTGTATATAATATTTTATTAATTTTAAAATAACGGGCCTTATTGTTTTCTGAATAAATTAATTTACACAAAAAAAGAAAAAGAATTGAAACACCATAAAATTAATCCTAATGTATGTGACATAACTTCCATTTTGTTTTTACTTTTAAAAAATATTTGGATATAAAAAACAAAATGTCTAGCATAATATAATTTATACTACATGGTTTATTTTATTAACACTGACCATTCATGTTTTGTTAAAAAAGTGCTTTTACATAGTTACAGTGATTGTAAATCTTCATTTTCAATAAAAAAAAGTTATGTTATAAGTTATAATTTTTTCCCCATATTTTATAATATAGTAAACCAGGCTTTAATTATGTGAAAACGTGCACTGACAATATTCATTAATGAATGATAAGTGTTAAAAAAAAATTGCCCCGTATGTATAAATAATTCATATTCAATTGAAAATATAGTATTTTTATTTTGTCTGTCATTAAAAATGTAATAAAAGTACAATATTTCTACTTAATCGCCTTTAATTTATTGACTAATTCTCAATTGCTCACTAAGTCATTAAATATGTATTATAAATGCTAGTGTGTAGTTTTGTATACATCATAAATAGAAATGCATTAAATTTATAAAATGTATTTAACTCCTTTGTGACATTTAATGTGAAACAAAAAGTCAAGGAACTCACTCTGCTGTATCGTACTATCATAGGGTCAAAATATACTTGTCATTGGGTATTTAATTATGTATTAATATAACCATGTTTAATTTATTTTTCTTATATTAAGGCCTAAGCAGCCCAGTGCTAGTTTTTCAAATTTCTATCAAATTTGAAAATTATATTTAATACTTTCGTTACACAAAGCGCCTTAATAAGGTAGCTTGAACTAATGTTTGCTAAAAATAAATCACATTTATTATTAATAATTATTTCAATTTTATTTTATATGATTTAACTATCTATTATTAACTTATGAATCAACATAGATGTATCATTAAATGGTGTGAATAAGTTAGTGGTATAAATAACATACAACTAATCTTGAAAATGTCATTGTTTATAGTAAAATAGCGATACACTTGTTAGTAATGCAAAATAAGGTATATATAGTACTTACCTATCAAAAAATGTCAAGTCCTTATATTCTAATTAAGAATAATATTTAATTATAACAGATTAACTATAATGGTTTTTTTTTAAATTTAAATAACTTGAAATGTGTAAAATACTAAAATAGTTGTTAATCTGTATTATTGAGATTTTATAAACTTCCAAAGCTTTTTCCCTGAGCCCAAAAATGTTTAACAGCACTAAAAAAAAATTTAAGACAATGTGTTAATTTAGAATGCCTATAAATACATCAAAATTACCTAGTTTAAATATTTGAAAAAATCGTATTGTGTATACAAAATTATAATTAAATTCATAATGAAATGTTTTTAAGTTCAATATTCGTTGAATAATGATAAAATTACAAAAATCGATACTGATAAATTTCTCATAAGAATATATATTATGTGGCTTCACACTACATTTTTTTCAAAAGTGGATATGATTAATTAAAAATAAAATAAAAATTATATTCACATAATATATAAAGGTACATTAAATCATAAATGTTTGAGTTTCTTATTAGTTTCCGAAACTCCAATAAGTTTATTTCCATAAAAAATATAACAAGTAATAATGAACTCCTAGATCAAGTTAAAAATGATGGATCTTCTCAAAAGCCAATGGCTGTGGTAGATGAGAGAGTTTATATTATCATTAATTTAAAATCTATTGAATTCTTGTATTTAATTGTCAAACCTTAGATGTTAAAATTAAAATTTTATAAGTTTGTAATCAGAAAATAATTTGCAAATTTCCGTGATTTTAATAGATTTCATAAAACATTGTACTTTAATCGCTTAAAAAAAAAGTATATATGAGACTATTTTTGATACTTTTAAGTGTGGTAAAAACCAGGGCTTAAAACCGTTCTCAATAAAGTCGGTAATCGGCTCCGGTAGGAGCCGAAAATTTTTGAAAACCGGTAACCGGTTATCGTTTTACTTTGATATTTTGGTAACCGGTAACCGTTTCTTTAAAGATATTTCAAACACTATGATAACCGTTAATCGTTTAAAAACCGTTGACCTACCTTGGATAACATATCCAAGTGTTTTTTACTCAGAAACACAATTGTATCATACATAAATCGAATATTTCAAATTTCTATAAATAGCTCAAGAAGAAAAAATTTACATTGAGACGAGAAAACCTCGTATATTGATATAATTAATATTTGGTGAAACATTCAAGTTCCACAGTTTTTAATTTTTTCAATAAAATTACGGAATAAAAACAAAATATATTTTGTTGAAAACTGATACTTGTAAAAATGCTCTACAATTATTGTTTTTGTTGTTCCCGATTATTTACTTGATACCAGAAATCACCCACAAAAGTAATAACTATTAATCGAGTTGGAGTTGTACTGTTCCAAACGGTGTCGATAGACAAAAAGAAACACATCATTGCAAAGACAATCACTCCGCTCAGAATCTAAAAAAAAATAATAATAATACATCTCTACTCTTTAACTTTGTTTAGTTTTTACCGTTCTAGCCCCCAGGGATGTGGGATGCACTTAAAATTTATTATTATCTTATCCTTACCTATTATAGAACAATACGGATGGAGGTATATGCTTCTTTTCGAAGTTTCGTTATTTAAATGGAAACATACATGTTTGGGTAGGTAAGTCTTGTAAAATAATGTATAATATATTTGAGACAGCATAAAAATAAATCTTGATACAAAAATAATAAAAATAATTACATTTTAAAATGTTTACGAACTGTGTTTATAACAATATATTTAATAAAATATAGTACGTGTGTTATTATACATACAACAAAATAATTGATTATTATCTTTTTTTAATTAAAATAAAAACGTTGATCAATTAGATGTATATATATATATATGTATAATTATAATATAGATAATAATTAATAATAATGAATAATGGTAATGTATAATTAATTAGCTTTGGAGGGAAACGTTAACATTGTCTACTTAAACTAAATAATAATTGTATTGTACATCAATCTATAAAAATCTTAATTAAAAAGGAAAAAATACTGTTAAAAACCAAAACTTAGTTTAACAATAGTTTTAGTATAATATTTATAAATGTTAACAGCTTTTCACTGTAATAACACAAATTTCTTAAAAAAAAAAAAACAATTTTGAATAATATTATGTACAAAATAACATTTAAAATTAAATTCATAATCCATTAAATTCGTAATTTAAAGACTAGTATAAAAAAAATATAAATATTTTTAACCTTTACCTTTTTAAAATTTTTTTTTCAATACAAATATTATCACGTTGTATGAAAAAAAAATGTTAACATAAAACATATTGTATACATAAAAAATAATTAATAACAACAATTCGTACTATACCTTGGCTTGTTTAAAATTAAAATCACACAATTTCAACAGTTGTTGAAGTAGGTAACTCGATAAAATAAACTAATCAAAAATATTGTATAATCTATAAACACGGTTTTAACAGTATCATCAACCCGTACCTGTCTATAACACGACCTTTGTGCGTATGTCGAGTACTATTATTGGAGTTTTGGCATAGACGATACCGCATAATTCAATATAAATAACAAATTTATAAACATCACAATAAATGTCTACACGCAAATTTAAATACAAATAGTAGCTTGTTAATTGTTTACTTTAAATTTATGTTTTATTTTAAAATATGTTATCGATTATGACTAGATAAATTACTCCGTCATGAATTTACTGCGTAGCTGGGTAAGGCCTCTTGTCCCTTTTCGATCGGACGCTTTTTCGATTGGTCCGCCTGTTGATTGCCACTGGAAGTCGTTTCCGGGCCTTCAGCTACACCTATAATTTCAGGTAAGTACAAGTGTAATGAGTTATCACATCAGTTATCAACCATTGGGTCGGTATCCGGTATACGGTTAGCTATGCGTTAAAATTAAAATCATATTATATTAAAATAACTCACTTAGTCTTGGGCGTCCGCCGTAGGGCAAACTGATGACCGCGATGAACGCCAAAAACGACGGAATCGTCCAATTGAGGACCATTACGTCGCGATAGTAATTCGGACACGACTCGCAATGCCTATAGGTATATAATAAGAGGTTAGTGGTAATCGGTATACATCATATTATATATCTAAACTACGGTTTCCGGGACTTACAAAGACTGGACGGCCATGACTACGGCCCCGTTGCATACTTTGTCGGTGAAGCTCATCAGGCCAAATGTGAACGCGCCCCTGTGCGTTCTGTCACCGATAAAATCGGTGGTCAGTGCTTGACTAGTGACCAACACCACCGAACAAGCAATACCTACAAATATCACAACACGAAGACACACGTCAAAAACGACAACTGATAAGTAGGTATTATAGTATTATTAATATTATTATTATTATTATTATTATTGCTAAAGTATAAATTTCTCGGACGTATATTATAGTTGGGACCCGTGGACCAAAATTTACACAAAATTAGATCCGGAAAATAGCCAAATAAGCCCGAAAAACATTTTCCTCCCCATTTTACTGACTTAGGGCTGTCACAATAAAATGTCGAACAATTATAGTTTAGTATCAAATGCCAATAATTAATATAATTATTATTGACTCAATATAAGCAGGTACATATGTATTTTATTACCTACCTATGTGTATTGCAGTTTAATTTTTTTATTATTCGTTATTATTATTACTGTCAAATAAATCGCTACCGAGTACCGAGGATTTATTTTTGTACTAGCTGTCCCATTCGGCGTTGCCCGTGCCAAAGATTTGTTTTTTTTTTATAAAAATATATTTTGTAAATAAATGTATATGCTATATATTTCTATTAACTATGTATAAAAGTAGTACATATAATAATATGTAACTAATGGCAACCATCTTTTATCGTGAGCTGAAAAAAAATGCATGTCTGAGGCGTGATCTACCCTTAGGCTCCTTATAGGGTTTGATAAAATAATCTACCACCTATCAAGTCTCGAGGCGTCTAAATTGATATAACTTTTATTAAAAACGGTCCAATAGTTTTTGCTTCTATTAACTTCTTAAAAGCCCTCATACATTTTTAGCTGTATGACCTGTCTTCATCCGTGAAAAAATATAATGCGCTATATACTCAGTAAAATAGTATAAGATAGTATATAGAAGATATAGGTGTATCTTGGTTTGACGGTAGGTACTTCAGTTCACGGGAAAATCGGCGTCGGTAATGCAAATTATGTGAACTAATTCGACCGATATGAACAATATTCGCCTAAGGCCAATCGGATTTATATTATATATTTATAGCATTTGGTATAAATAATCGAATGTGGCAAACTACTCTTTAAACTTTCTGATCATATCTAAGGACGACAGCTTAAAATTTTCACAAAATCGATAGTTGAAAAATAATTTCTTAGTATCTATATAATATACATACATAAACTTCAAACATTTATTCAACTCTCATATATTTTGTTTTAGGATATAATTTACTTTATTCGAGGCCCTTATTAAAATCATACTTATTTCATATCGTTAGTAATAAATGACTTAGATAAGAATATAAGATAATCATAGGAAAATCCAATATCAATAAGCTGTTAAATTGGACGGAATTCAGCCATTCATTCTTTCCAAATCTGGGACTAATCTGTATAACTATCGTCTCTTAATTGTCGGCTGCAACACGATCACCGCAAGATCACAAAATTGAAAACCGTGTAGATTTTAATAACCATCCATTTGTATATCTACATACACGGTTCCACACGGTTTTAAATTCACCATTGCCATACCGAAAGTACCATAGCTCAGTAGGTACTCGATATTTCTCCTCTGCAAAGAAAATCTATGGATCATAAATATTAAATATATTATTGCTAACAAGCATAACAACGGAAACCTTACGAAAAATCGGTCAGAAATATTTAATTGTGTATCCACTATCTAGCCCAAAAACATATTCATGTTAAGACATGTAAAATAAACATATTATATATTATTATTATTATTATTATAACGTACATAATATTATTTTATGCGCAATAGACGACTCTGCCGTTTTGAAAACAAGACTTTATGAAAAACGCAATTTTAGTATACACTTTACACATTGTTGGACTTGATATTCTGACATTTCTTTGACTTATGGTTTGCAATCTTATGATTAGAGATATATTTTGGAATTATAACAGATTTTGTAGGAAATTTTTTAAGTTTAAATTTGATTCTAAATAAATCGTGTTTTTCGAATGCTGCCTGCATTATACCAACTGTCAAAATGTCATAAATTTAATTTTATATTTTACAAGCCGAACCTGGCCATGCAGTGCTATCCTTACGACTTATTCACCGAGAAAACACATCATTAAATTCAATATGCATTGCTTGGCTATATGTGAAATAAAAGGTATAAGGAAGAAAAAATGTGTTTTTTTATAAAGTTAGTGGATTAACTACATTTTTTGTTTGTGCGTTCTTCATAAACATAAAGATCATACGGTTAACCAACTCTAAAGCATGCGACGTATAATTGCCCATATGAGATAAATAATCGTTTTATAAATCACACACTGGCAATGATTGTCTTTGCACTTGATTGAAAGTCATAGCAAACGACTGGTATATTGTAAAATGCAAATTGAAATCGTTTAAGTCGGTCTGATAAGTGGTAAACGTGAAAGCAGACAAATGTAATGCAAGGTTGCATAAAAAGCATGTGGAATTGTGTAGTTATGTTTATAAATGGTTATTAAAATAGGCACATAGGTAAAGAGAACTATAAACATAATTTATACACGATGTAACTAGTCCTAAATTACAGGGGCTAGTAAAATTTATAACAGCCCACCAATTAATTCACATCTCAAGCTTCTTTAAAACAATTTTAAATTAGATAGTACATTTAGTAACTATTATTTATTTTTACGTTATAAGTATACCTATTTATTTTTTTTGGTATATTTTTTACTATATTGCAAATACATTTGCTAATACTAATTCAATCTATTATTAAATAACAACAAAAAGCAATAACAAACATATTGTGTTTAGGTTCTAATATTATGTATTATTATTTATTTCAAAACTAATTTTGTTGTTTTTATAGTGTACTTGTCTAAGACAAGGTAACTGTTTTAAGTGATTTGTAAATTGTAATATCTATTTACTTAAGTATTGGATGAATTTTAAAATTGCTAAAGACCCACTAGCCCCCTCCCACACTAGTTGTGCGTATGACATGCATCAGATATATCGTATATGTGTAGGTTAGGTACTTAAATACTACTTACCTATTATTATAGTGACCACGTATACTTGATATTTGGCATATGTATCACCTTCGCCAAAATAACACCACACCGCTGAACCCAAAGTCAACACCACTCCAAACGAATAAGTGTACTGCAAAATTTTCAGTCTTTAAAAATATATTTTATAACATATATGATGTTTTATTTCCAGGTTATTCTAACAAAAACACGGGTACCTTTCTGCCGAGTTTCATGTTCATGGGTTTATTGAGGAGCGACATACCAAAACTGCTAACGAACATAATCAAGGGTAACAGTGCTAGTTTTTCGGCTTCCAGATTTAAATAGTCTTGTAAGTACATCGGCAAGAACACCTATATGTATATATATACATCATATATAAATCAATACATATTATATACACACGACAACAATAATTATAATAAACAGTACCTACAATAACGATAGTTATAAACATATATATATTTAGGGATGTGAATTTATAAGAAAATGCTTTCATTTAAATTGATTGTAAAAACATAGCTTTTTCAAAACAACGTTTTAATTAGGTACGAACTCAATGTTGACATTCTTTCATTACCATTTTTAAAAGTTTTTTTTATTTTTTTTATTGCTTTTTAGCTTTTTTTTTTTTATTTCATTATTTTTTGTTGATATTTTAATAATTTTTATATTTTCTAAATTAAGGTTTTTGAATGCATTAAATTCACAATCCTGGTAATAAAAATAAATCAAACGAAATTCCAGCGAGAGTTCGTTTAAAATATAAAATATTTTATGGAAAAGCGCGTATTTTTTACCAAAGTCATGTTGACGGTGATCCGAGAACACATGTACACGATGGCTGTCTGGTAAAGGGTGATGCTTTTGAACATGGACAAAATACTGTTGGCTGCGCGTTCAGCCTCCGTCTCGGTCATCAGGAGCTCTCGATTCACACGGTTGTTGATAAGTGGTTCACGTACTCCAATGTGAAATATTATGGTCGTCATAGCCCCGACAATCATTATCACCAATATGACTATCTAAGTAAAAATTTACAGTAGTTTCATGATTTTTGGTCAAGAAATGTGATATATTATTTATATATATATATATATTAACGGGCGAAGCCCTTTACAACAATTTAACACAAAACAATTAAAATTTAGATACCATATAAAAGTTTTAACATAATAATAATTCAATAATAATAATAATAAAATAATAATAGGTAATATAAACGGGATTGTCATATTTTTTGTGTTAAAATATTTTTCAAATGAGGGAAATTTTGTTTTTTTATCAGCATATTAAAAAAACTATTGATGATGGTCGTGAAGTTGGCACGCCTCACTTTCTTTCAAGTCAATCTAACTCAACATTTAGGAAATAATTGCCCAGTATTTTCGAGTAAAGTTTTAAAATTTGCAAGTAATTTTTTTAAGTACTGAACAAAAATAAAGAAAGGTTTGCCGATTTCACATAGCCTTGCATCTTTTTTTACCTACAAGTTTAAAACTGGTCGTGTTCGATTCCTTATAACTGGTAAGTATTAGTAAGTCCACTATACAACCTGTGCAAATTGTACTAGTTTTGTAGGCCACAGGTTATAGAGTGGACTTACAAATACTTTTTAATTATATAAAGTATCAAACGACACTAGTTTTGAGCGTGATGTTTCGGATAGGCCATGGGCGAAAAAAGGTAAGTAATACTTAAAATTAATGCCTTTCAAATTAAAACAGAGGATAAATGGATATCGCTCTGCTGTACAGTAGGTTACAAGTGGGTCACTGTAATGAAGGGTGTTAAATTTGAATTCAATGATAAATGTTGATTTGGGTTAGATTGATTTGCGAGAAAGTAGGGAGGGGGGAATTTACAATTGTGAACTATTAGAAAAAATCCCCTTATACTATTTATATATAAATTATCATTTTAATACAATATAATGAGGTTTTGCTTGAATCAATAAAACCGTGAGAACATTAGTTTGGATAGTTTTCCTATACAATTTTGATACTGTGTCACAACCAACATGTGCACCACTAACTTGTACGTTATTTTATGAAAGTATTTCAACATATTTAAAATTGAAAATTATTAAATTAAGATATTTGGGTAAAATTGCATAATGTAATGTACTAATATCAAACCCCTTAAGAATCCGAACCATAGTGTGGTAAATGGAATTAACTCTCTAGATATTTCCCTCGTTGCTATTTTCTCCTTGTATATTTTAATGTGGATATTTTCCCACCTTTTAAAAAAAAATGTATTTTAATATGAAATTATTTTTTTTGTCTAATGTCTAGTTTTGTTTTTATGTGTAATAAAAAGCAGAATAAATGTCTTAATATGTCTATAAATATAATTAGGTAGGTATAAAAATGCATATTTTAATTGCCTAAGCAATTTATGGGGGTCTGGGACACAATTTTAGATATTCTTTATAGTAACTTATACCATTATGATTGCAATGAATTTTTGTAAAACATTAAGATTATTATAGTAATTTATTGTTTTATACATTACTTATTATTATTTTAATAGTACTTTTTTTTGGGAAATATTTCCATGTAATTTAATTACAAATTAAGACGAAAATAAAAGTAATTTCACATTCAAATTAATTATTGGACATTTGTCTTATTACACCGAAAATATCAGTGCGGAAATGTTCGAGAGGAAATTGTGTGTTGTCCTGCATTCGCGTAGCACACAGCAAAGATATATTATATTATTAATTGTATACTACTGAATAGAAACGTTTAATAATCGTCAGACTTTGTTATTCGTTCTAACTTCTTCCAACTTCTATTAGGTTATATGTTGATACTAATAACAGTACTCATATACTTATTTAACTTATATACATTACATGCTCAAAACGTACATTAATTTATGTGCGTAGGTTCATCATTAGGAATTACCACAACAAGATGTAAAAATTACTTGTTTTATACAGTACTTATAGTTCATACTACTATACCTACCTCTATATGATAATATCGTGTCAAGCCTTAACTTAAATTTTTGTAACGAACAACATACATACGAAGTAACAGTAAACAATCGCTATTAATTATATATAACTTTTTTTTAAATTCTATATAAGTGGTACTTTTTAAATTTAAAATGTGGGCAGGCAATGCAAATTATATACATGGCGCTACATGGGTATTCTGTTTCAAAATAAATCAAAAAAAATTGTTATATGTACTTGGAATTCTTTTCTTTCTGCAGGTCCAAATTGAGTTTTGCTCGCATTGCTACTTTTGAGCACGATCCAGGTGACTACGTATACCAAGATGTTTGAAAAGACAGTAAAACTATACCTGTGTAAGTATTGCAAACGCACATAAAAGTGATGATCGATAAATAAAAATAAAATAAGAAGCGTGCATAATACGATTGTACTTTTCGGCATGCTATATATTTTAATTATTTTTTGTTTTAATACCTGACGGATAGTAATGCCGTTCGTTCGTCGCGTATTGGCGTCAGGTCCGAAGCCAACGCCATGTGCGAGTTCTCGATGGATGCCCATCCAATTTGGAAGAAGACGATGAAGAAACTGTAGTATAGAGCGGTGTTTAGTTCGGAGGTCTCGGCTTGTGGCAATATGGGCGGTGAGAACGCGAAAGGCAAACTTATGAACACCAGTATACTGCCTGCAGCGGGAACGATGGAGGTTAGTAATTAAGTAGATCGTATGTTACCAATATCATGAGTAGGTGTGGTGTATTATAATATGTATAGGTGGACTTGGGATTTGGTTTATAACCATCTTGCATTTTTAAACATTTACCTATTATACATTGTAATAGCCCACGCGGAGTTTGATCGATGATATTGACTTTTGAATTCCCCTTTTGTTTCTAGTTTGGGATAGGAAATCTATAAGGGTAAAGATACAGAAGCTTATATTATGCTTTTACTTATTTATTACTGAAAGGAAAAATTTCACTGGTCGAACGAGTTATACCCGTTACAGTTAGCATTCATCATAACGTCTAAGTTTATTTGCAACCCTAAGCTAATAAAGCGTCTGATACAACAATTAATCAGATATAAATATAAACATATTATATAGTTTATTATTATAGAATAAAAATTGACCAGGAAGATTATAGATATATAACTTGGTTACCTGCTGCAGATACAACTACAACCCCCACCCTCCACTCCAAGTTTGCCAATGCCTATAATCCTATATATAATCTGTGCTAGAGAACAAGCACGACTAACTATTAAAAGACATCTTACCGAAGAGGTGCCAAGTCTTGCGGCGGCCGTATCGATCTGTACAGTAGATGTTGGCGCGGTCCGATAACACGCCTATGGCGGCCGTTGCAACCGCGTCTGTTAGCTGACCGGCGAGTACCACGGCCCCGGCATTGATGCTGGACAGTTGCATGACATAGTGGTAGAACACCAGGGCGTAGGTGAACCACATGGAGGCGACCAGGTCGTTGAGCACGTGTCCGACGCCGTACGACACAAACGCGAACCATTTGAGCGAATCTGACATTTTGCCCTCATTACCTGTTGCAACGACGAAAATGAAGGTTTAGCTGCGGGGTTTAGAAGATACGCTTGAAACCCACCCCTATAACGAACATCTCCGAATAGCGGACAACATTTCAGCGAGCGAGTGTCCAGTATTCAGAAGTTTCGTCATATTTATAGTTTAATTCGTATTTCGTATACTAGTTGAAATCCTGACTTTTGAGAATTTCGTAGAAATAGATGTGATGTAGAGACAATATTTTATAATATATTCAATGAGGTGAGTAATTTCCTGAAGGGTACTCTTGTGATTTTTTTATAAGATTCAACCAGAATATCTCGATGTTTATTCTGTAAATTACTAAGCATTTTGATCAGGATATAAAATAAAAATATGTACCTACAATATGCAAAAATTTTTTTTTTGATCTGAATTAAAAGAAAAAATAAAGATAAATAATTTGATGGTCATATAGGATTGGCGGGGAATGTGGCACTCAAAATTACACCAAAACTACTGATGTATTATATTTTACCAATACGCATATTGTTTGTATTGATTATATATGACTATATGATTAAGGACGTCTGCACACTACAGTCGAAGTCAATAGACATAATAAATACAAACTGCACAACGCTTGTCATCTTAATAACCTATACGGCTATACACATAGAAATTATATTTAATATCATATACGATACATATAAATATAATTGTAATAATAAGAATAATATTATAATCTTGAATATTTGTGGGGGAGAGGGGCTCCTCTCGAATCGCATAAAGTGTTGAAGACAAAAAATATAGGTACTGTATACTCTACATTCAAATTTTGAATCGCAATAACTTAATTTATTTGACAATGTTATATATTTAGATAACAAAGCGATAACTCTTACCGTCACATCATCCGCACACTGCAGTAAATATCTATGAACACAAACTTTGTTCCATTTATTATTGGCAGCGTGCGGACAATATGACGACTTACCGTTACGTCATGTTATCAAACATCAACATATTATCGTACACAGTTAAATAGGTAAGTACTCTCAGTACCTGATATACCAGTAAGGTACTTGGGTAAATATACTAGGTAACAGTATATTTTATCTATAAAGATTGTAGGTACATCGGGCAACATCACGTTTAGGTTCTTATGTATTATAAAATATAAATAATATTTCTATAACAATGCTTGTTGTATTCGTATTAACTATACTATGTGCCTATATCAAATGCGTGTGTCTTTTTAAGTTTCCGGTAATATTATTACAACAATTACTGATGTTGGAGAGGAATGTGCAGTGGTGTTATTTATATTATCCGTACACATTATTATAGGTATATTAATGCTTAAGTAGTGAAGTATAATATAATCTATTTTGATATTTATTTTTTTTTGTTTTTTTTTTTTTTTTAATGCTCTTCAAATTGTTTTGATTAATTGTGTATTTTAATCGATAACAGGAAGTAGGTTAGACATTATTTGTGTATGATTTCAAGTATCGTTAAACTCTAGTCTTAATAATAATAATAATAATTTATTATGTAGTTACAATTAATGCAGTTATAACAACAATATAGAATATAATGGCCCAAACTCACTACTGAGGAAAATCTCTTAGTGGTAAAATCGGAGTACTAATAAAAATCCTAACTAATTGAAATAATATAAACATTAAACATAACAATGGAAACATTAAAAGACAAAGTATAAAAAATTAAAAATTAATATGAATGACAAAATATATATATATATATACATATATAAAGAAATAAACCAATGGATTCTTATAATAATTTAATTAAAGTTTATTAGATTCACATCATATACACTATGCTTTAAATATATGGGTTATAAATGAATTAGCCAAAGTTTAACTAACTTTTTGAACTGTTTATAGGATTTGCAATTTATGATATACAATGGTGCTTTATTCGGTAGATTAAGCTTAAGACCTACCTGGGAAAAACATAGGCTTGCTTTAATCGAACGAGGAATAGGGATCTTTATATTAGTCTATTTATAGTATTTTATATTGTTTTTGCGTTGATGATATTCTTTGGTCTCCACCCTATATGATATAACTATAATCGAAAATATTTTAACATGCGTCGAATATCAATAGGAAAAATACTACACCAAAGTTTTTTAGAGTATACAATAGACATAATACATGTAGTAGGTATTTATATACTCGTAGGCCGTAACTATATATATGAATACTGCGCAGTAAGTTGAGCGTTTACTACTAAAATTTAAAATGCGTTATGGAAACCGGACATTTTTTATACGCCATATCTATTTTCAACTCATTAAAGCAGTGGTTCCCAACCTTTTTGGTACTACGGACCATTATGAGAACTTTCGATACGTCACGGACCACCTCAATTGTATACCTTATTTTTCTTACAAATAAGAATCAATTTTTTTTCACATATTTTAGAATTTTGATTATTATTATATGAATAAAAGGCTTTTAATAACATGGGTTTCACTATGTAATATACATTTATAAATAAACGACCTACTATACACGATTGTCAATAATTAGTGTTATGCCTCAAAGGAAAATGAAATTATTAAAATATTTTTACATTTTGTAAGTATGGCTCGCGGACCATAGGTTGGTAACCTATGCATTAAAGTATATCCCAACACAAAATAAAAGTATTCCTTAGTTCTAGGTACACCTGCAGTGACCTGTGCCTTGCAGTGTAGAGCCAGTCAGCCAGTCAGCCAGCCAGCCAGCCAGCCTGCAACTGTAAACCACGGAGGCTTTGGGGACCGCCACCCTCCCTCGCCCAGTATGAAATACTCGGGAGTTCTGATTCACTCAGACTCGCAGATGTATTAAACACCTCATTTATTGTTACGAGTTGTTGACGATTGTTTGATTAATCACTAGACGACAATGGAAAACGATTGCCATATTAAATTATTCGCACCATTATTGTGCCGTTGTTGTGCTTGTTTTTATGTAGAAAACTGAACGGCTGATTTAATTGTTATACACATAATTTGAGAACGAACACCAGTACAAATAAATACAATATAATAATAAGTGAACAGTAAATATAGTGAGTATCTATAATGTCTCGGATACATATATACATAGTATATATTCACATAGGTACATAACATCATGCGAATTTCCGCGTTCAACCACATAATGTTATTACTCAGTAATAATAATATATGTATGAAGTAGGTATATAATTAATCTGTTGCCGAAGGATTTCCATCTTGTTCATTTATGTATATAGTGTTTAACAATAATATCATAATCAACAGATGCCAATGAAGGGGAAAAAACAAACCATGTAAACTTAATCAAAACATTTTCGATAATCTCTTATAATAAAAGATATATTATTAGGCTATTGGTTGGTACGAATTCTATCGACGTATACAAACAACATGCAGATCAAAAGTCAAAGTTTATCGCATTGAACAATAATATGAATATCTCGCCGACTGCAGATTCCGTGTGTATATAATAGTATAATATAGGCACATCGTAAAATAAAGAAAAACCCGAGACGATGGGTTCCTAAATTGTGGATTTATTAGTTACGAGTGGAAAATAATGAGTTTTTTTCATTAGCTATAAATCTTAATTTTGCATGTCATCCGTGGACACGCGAAAACACATTCCTGTGGTCAACATACAGTACACCGCACAAAAGCAAAAGCACAATAATATGTTTAAAGACCGACCATGTCGTTTGTTTACCGAAAACTGCAATTAATAAATCGAACAATGAGGAAAAAATACAAAATTATGGTTTGTGAGCATTCAAAATGCATTCAAAATGCATTGGAAAATGACTGCGGTCACAACAAGAATTCATTTCAGTCGTCTAAAAATTGCAATAATATTTGTTAAACAAACCGCTAGTTTTAATAAGTAATTACTGCACCTGTTTTATAAATACCTTTAAATAATAGTATCATTTGGTTTACGCTTATTGATTATTGAATTGTAATAATTTAGGAAGATATAGTTAACTGCGGAAAAGACAAATTGAACATGTTACAATAACAAAACCAATAAGATACATTTTGCAGACTGCGGTAATTTATTTTAGTAAGTAAATACAGTATAGTAAGAATGTATAGTATTATCGCAAGTATAAAGGAACTAATAGTTAGCAAGTTGCGGTAAAACTTAAAAATACATTTGAATTTACCTTAACAATTTGTACGTAACATAATATATAATTAATTAAACTATATTGGTACATAGTAACACATATATGGGTATATATATTTATATATTATTTAAGTACCTATATACATTAATACATTATTTACGAACCCATAAGTATGGTATCGTATCGATAATCAATAGTAAATATATAGTAGGTATATAAATTGCCGCAGTTTAAAATTTTAATATTATTGTTCAAATAGTTATTTGGTATCCAAAATGTTGAACAATCCGAATCGTTTTTCATCGTTCATCATGATTTACCATTGAAATTTGAATTAAAATATAAACATTTAATAGATCCATAACAGTGACCTACTCAATGATGAGGTACACTCGACACCTAGCTATCTGGACGGCAGAGCGTTTATCTACTTCCCCCCTTGTTTTTGAGTTTATAGTTCAAACGATTTAATATTACAAAATTAGTCTTATAATAGACTTGAGGTGTAAATATAGATTGACAGTTGTCGGTTGTAATGGTAATATTTCAAGATAAACAAAATTTATGTCACACAATCAATTTAATTATTTATCTTGTGTACATTTTTAAGTATAAGTGTGTTAGAAATCTGCCGATATATAGTGGTGTAGTTATGAATTGATTATTAATCCTTGATAGTTGATAGCGTACTTGATTAGTAAAAGATGTGTTAGTACTTAGTAGTACATTTATAATATATTGTTATATATTTTTTTTTTTATAACAAGATTTTAAATTATTGAGATAAATAGTATACTTAAATGTAAGTAAGTACAGGTAATAATATATTCAAATATTTTGTATTTTGTAAAGTATATAGTATTATATGAGG